AAAAAAAATTATGAAAAATGTGTAATGTAGCTTGTTTCCAAGTCTCTACTTAACTCCCATCTAAGACATTTTGGTGCCAGAAGGGGAAAAGAAAACCCATCCGCCCATTTATAAATACAGACAATTTGCTTAAAATAAATCTACTACCTGAAGTAGCCATTTTGTCCCAGAATAAGATCATCACTGTTTCTCTGATTGTCATGGGTGAGAGATGTATAATCTGTGATTTCCCATCCCTTTCCTCCATGATCCACAGTCGCAAATCATCGAACTGAACGTTGGTGGGGAGATATTTATGACTACGCTGAGCACGTTGAAGAAATATCCCAGTTCCAAACTGGCAGAGATGTTTGCCAGCGGTCAGCCCAAGCTTCGCACTGACGCAAAAGGACGGTACTTCATTGACCGCCCTGGAACGTATTTTAAGTACATCTTGGAATACCTACGGAGCAGCCAGGTTCCTATGCAGTATGTTCAGGACGTGTACAAAGAGGCTCTTTTTTATGACATTGAGCCGTTGATCAAGCAACTGGAGGATTCTCCTCAGATCTTTGGGGAGTTGGTGGCCAGAAAGCAGTTCCTCGCCCGGGTCCCTAGCTACACAGAGAACATTGAGCTGATGATCCGTATCGCTCGTGCGGAGGCGGTGGCTTCGCGTCAATCCAGTGTCATGGTGTGCGTCGTGAAGAACGAGGAAGACATGGCCAAGTGCCGGGATGCTCTCAATAGCCTGGACACCTACAAGAAATCCGTGGTCACCTTCGGCCCTTGGAAGGCTTCACCGAGCAGTTCCGATTTGCTGGACTGCATTAAAATGGACATTGCGGCCAAAGGTTACAAAATCTCATTCCAGGTTTATTCTCTGGAAAGGAGTTTCCTGTTCAAATCCGGCAACTACTTCTACAAATTTCTGTTTACTTGGTGGTAGCGCGAAAAGCCAATGTTTTAATCTATTAAAATGAGTGACTTTCTAATGTTGACAGTATCATTTTTCCAGCTATTTTACTAACGGGATAGGAATTCACTCGGTAGTTTCTCTTACGTGGAATGTCAGACTCATCATCACGTTTTTAGGGGGATGGAGAAATTTCCCCCAATGTCTCTA